AGACATGTTGAAAAAAATGGTAAGTTCCCACTTCACTTGTGTAGTTGAATTATTCAGTACTGTTTAGAATTATTAGCATCAAATTATGATATATTTATTATTTTCTGTGTTAATAGACCAACAAAGATTTGAATCGGGTTCCTCTCAAGATTGAAGTGTACGAGAAGGTGTATGTTCCCAAGGAAGGTGACCCTCCACAGCGTATTGTTGAGACTCGGGTATGCTCTTTATCTATTCTGAATAAATATTAAATTTAATGTCTGCTATGATTTTTTCTGAATATCAAAGTTACTGACATATTTGTATCATCTGCAGCAAAAGTACAATGAGTTGAATGTGCAGGCTGAATCTGAAGGGAAATCGTACGACGTTGATGATTCTGAGCTTTTCTGCAAGGTGATTCCCACTTATCGAGGACGGTGGTACAGGACGGGGTCTGAAGCGGAGTCTCTGTCCAAAAGCGTTGAATGTTCAAGCCGGCACTCGGGGCCCACCCAACAGGAGATTGATGCCCTTATCCAAACGCAAGTGGAAGCCCGATTCGCGCAGCATGAGAAAGTTTGGCGAGAGCAGATGGAGAACATGTCCAGCGCATTTATGTCAGTTTTGTGACAAGTCCAAACCTCTAACTCGTCTGTCACAATGCCTAATCTGGAAGGTTTGCGTACCCTAACTCCCGTTCCTATGCACTGCCTGCATGATTCGCCCGAAGTTTGAATGGATGAACTATTTTCCGGCATTAATCCAAATGGCATTGTTGGCTTGGTTTAATGTCGGTTGGTTGAATGTTATGGACATCTTTTTAATTTCTGTTATGGACATCTACTTTTAATTTTCCGCACAAGTTTTATTGCCATGTCAATTTGGCATGTTGAAACTTTCTTTTTATGTTTATATTGCGCAATTCAGTTTTATTTTACATATATGTATATGGCATGTTTTATTGTTCAGTTTGCAATGATACATGTGCTTTATTTTACATATATTGAATGTTTATTTGTGTATAAAATTTACTGTTTGGTTGAAATAAAAAAACGTATATTGTATATATGTACGTACACCGTACATATATACGGTACACGTTTTTTGAATCCAATTACATTTGGCTCGGAAATAGCCATCCCAATCTTTGACGCAGGCGTTGAAAATATGTGGCGTGGAAACCGTAACAAAAACCGTGTCTAAATGAAATCCGAGCCAAATGTTGCGTGAATTGGTTGAACGCTATAGGCACGCAAAGTCCCAACCAAATTCCCAGCCAACGTTTGACACGGAAATATAAAACCGAGCCAACACGTTTGGCTCGAGGTAGGTGGCATGGAACTCAAAACCGTTCCAAATCCGAGCCAAGACCATTCGTCTAGGAAAATTTTGAAGAGTTCCATGCCTATATCCGTGCCTATACCAAGTTTTTTTTACAGTGAATGTTCTTTGAATTTTTTCACAATTTTTATCTATATTTCTTCAAATTCTAACAAAATTTTAAATTTTTTAATATAAAAACCAGCTATTACAAGTCAAAAACTGAATAAATAGCCAAATTGATCCATTGTTTAAAGTAAATGTACGTATATGATTCTTTTTTAGTACATGAACTTAAGTGATGATTTGTAAATAGTAGAATGACTTACTTGACCCTTTTTCCTAAATAGAGATAATAAGACTTTAAGTGCTAAAAAAAGTCTTTACACTTTGCACAAGACTTATGTTAAAATGAGTTGGAAAAGTAACTAGAAAGTATGCTAAATTGCTACTCTAGTGTCCGACAACTTTATGTTATAGCTCACCAATGTTTATTCTACTATAATTTTGATTATAATTAGTGTTAACCAAGATACAACAGCTATTGCATGTCTCCAAACACCTACTTAAGAAAGTCCAAAATCTTCAAATGTCCCTTCAAGGAGGTGTGGTTATATAACCAGGGGCGGACGCACTTTGTTCAAGGGTGTTCGGACGAACATCCAAAATTTTGAAAATAAAATGTAAAAATACATGTATAGAATTGATGTAATAATTTACATAATATATGTTGTGTTTTTTTATAACATTTTTTACCCCTAACATTTTTTGCTAGTTTTTGTTGAAAAAATTACATGTGGGATCAAATTAAACAATATTATTGTGCAATATTTTAAGCATGGTTTTTTTTGAACAGCCAACATTGGGTATCAAGATCCGCCACTGCACCACTAAAATGTAACTATTTCACCCTAGGAATTATCACTCTATAAATGTTAATATGAAAAATGCTCATAAAAATCATTTTCAAATCAAAATATAAAATATACATATTCTAATAAAATATATTGGGCATTTGATTAATCGCAACGCGCGTGTAAATAACTAGTAACAATATAAGCGCCTTATGTGAAGACTTCACAAAAACAAAAAGCCTTTAAAACGACATTTATAAAGAGTGTACAAAAAATGTGTACATGAATTAGGGCAGATTAGGAAAATTAGAGTTGTACACAAATTTTGTACACATTTTGTTTACACACACTAATTGTCTGCGTACACAAGTAATTTATTTAAAGAAACTGGTAATTATCCAATTGTGTGTATATATAGAGCTCATTTGTTGACACTCTTTTTTGACTTATCAGGGTTATCATCCAACTTTTTCATCAAACACATAACTTTTGATTTTCCATGTTGAATCAATCGTAACTTTTGATATTAATAAAAAATATTTTAAATATAATCTTTTGAATCAACTCATATGTCAATTCCAGTGTTAACAAATGTGGTCATAACCGTATTTGTAAAAAGTCTACAATTTTTTGTTACCTCCGTCACACTCAACTTTGTCAAGTTGATGTTATGTGGGAAATTAGAATAGTAAAATTTGTGTGGTTGATGTTTGTGCAGATGAGAGATAAATGAACAGAGTTACAAAAACATTGCTTTAAAAAAAGTGACAAACCTTTTTGAGACATACAAAAAAGTAAAGTTAGCAAAGTCCAGTGGAACGGAAGGAGTACGTAAAAGCCATGTTCTAAGGTGATTGTGGCAGTCTAGCGCCACCACTTAAATTTTTAATTACTTTTGGCACAAACGTTTACACTTTTGTTTCATAGAAAATTTCGTCCGATGGAAAGCTTAAAAGGTGATGGTATATTTAGGATCAAAGATTATTTGAATCATTTATTATCCGAAACATATATTACTCAAATTTTAATATGGAGTAATTGAAATTTTAAACACCAAGAATAATATTTAGATTTTTGGTAACTTCATCTTGTTTCCTATATATAGAGAACTTTGACTAAATACACTCTTACGCGTCTGAATCTCTACTTTAGACACGGAGTACTCCATATTAAGTTTTAAAAAATTTAAACAATGAAAGCAACCATTTTAAAACAAATTAGAAATTATTTTCTAATCAAATTATTTTCACTATTTGTTCAATTTTCACCATTTTAATCTATAATTAAATGAATAGTAATGAACAAATGTAGTGATTACGATGTAATTATTTTCACATAATTTTAGTGACTAAAAGTTCAAATTCACTTTTATGTTCAATTTTTTTTGGGTTATGCCCTTAATATTACTAAATTGAACTGATTTTCCAAAAATGTGAATACTTTTAAAATATGACAAAAAGTGATTAACAAGATCATATATTTGGAATAAGAAAACATGATGTCACTGCAAAAATTTATGTCACTATTTTCGTTTTTTCTTGTCACTGAGAGTCATCACCGTCAAAATTTTCACGCCAATTACACCGCCACCACTGCAACCCCAGCGACACAGTCACAATGACGCCGTCACAGTGATGCCGCCACAGTGACGCCACCACAGTGACGCCGCCACTTCCCAGTGATGTCCAATTTTCTAGTGATTTCACTGGCCGGAAGTTACTCCGGCTGCCAAGATTAATACTACCGCCGCCCAGCTACACAGCCCAGCCGTCACTGCCGCCGTCCATCACCGCCCCATTCCCCATCACCATCCCACAGCTCCGGCAACACAACCACTCTCCTTGACCCGTATCCCTAAGCACCACCTCCTCAGCCCAGCTGTTCTGTCTACCTCCAGCACCCTCTCCGCTCAGTCAACCACCGCCGGCGGCCACCACCTCAGACCACCAAACCTCAGCCCCCTCCCCTATCATCACACCCCTCACAGCAGCCCACACCCCTCACAGCAGCCTCCAACTCCCGACCAACTCTCGCACCATCACCGATTAGGCCTATTCACCCTCTCCACCACTCGCAACCCCACCCCTCACAGCAGCCTCCAACCCCCTCCACCATCTTCCGACCATCCCTACTGCACATCTCCTCCCCTGCAACTCGCTCACCCACAAGCTTGATTTCCGACCGTCGTCACTGTCCAAACCACAACCACTCCCCCGCTACCCCAGCCCGTTCGCCTGCCACATTTTCCTTTCATCTGCCTCGTCCTCCCCCAGTCAAACCCTAATATTGCGCAGCCACTGTTCAAATCTGGAAACCTAGCATCGATACAGGCGACAATGACTCGATCTGGTATTAAACGACTTGATATCAAGCCTCCACTGACGAAGATGACGTCGATTCACTTCCCATCCGCCTTCCAACTCACCGGACAGAAAGGGGAGAAGAAGAAAATCGATGGGGAAGGAAACGACGGAGGAAAGGGCACGACTATGGTGGGCGACGATGACATCGGCGGTGGCGATGCGGTCCGCGGTGGCGATGAGGTCTGCACTCTGCAGCGTCAATGAGTGCTGAGTCCAGTTGAGGAGAATTGTTGGTGAGATCCGCGTGAGAGACGGGTGACCTTTGGGCTTTGGAACGTCGGTCATATTTTTGGAAAAACAAAGAAGACTCATATTTTTGTCTTTTAAAACTACTTGAGTAATATTCATGACATTATTTCTTTTTTTTAATTATATTTTTAAATATATCAATTAAAAAAAATCGGATCAAACATTAAAAAATTTAAACTTATTCCGAATATTTTTTGCTTTGTAGTAAAAACAACTTTAATAATTGTTGTGAATTGTGATTACTCGCTGATCAAAAGCGTGTCATCAATCTTATAAAGACTCTTTTTCTCCATTTCCGTCGGTTCACGTTTTCCCTTCTCCACTCCGCTCCTACCGGCAACCGCCAAATCCGCCGCATTTTAGATTCATCGTTAGCTAGGAAAAGATCTACTGTGTGAAGAAACTATGGCCGACAAAATCTTCCCAGCTTCAAGGCCCACACCCAACAGCACCGTCCCCGTTGCCGCCAACGGCGGCGGAGCAAACCAACCGTTCCCACCTAAAGCTCAGTCCTACAACCCCGCGCGCGCCGTGTACCGCCCGCAGCAATTACCCCGCCGCCACAGACGAGGTTGCTGCTGCCGCTGCTGTCTCTGGACCACCTTCCTCATCGCCATCCTTCTCATTCTGGCCGCAATCGTCGGCGCCGCATTCTGGGTCCTCTACCACCCTCAACGCCCCACCTTCTCCGTCAACTCGCTCCGCTTCTCGCAGTTCAACCTCACCTCCACGACGCTGTCCTCGAAGCTCGAGATCTCCATCTCGGCGCGTAATCCCAACAGAAAGGTCATCTACATCTACGATCTGGCTACGATTTCCGCAACTTCCGATGAAATCGATCTGGGATCCGGATCTATTCGTGGATTCGAACACGGAACTAAGAACTCTACGGTTCTGAAAGCAACAATCGCTAGCTCAAGGAAGACTCTCGACGGCGGAGATCTAAAGAAATTGAAGTCAAAGAAGAGCCTGCCGTTGACTGTTCGGTTAGATACTAAAGTCAGAGTGAAGGTGGGAAGCCTGAAAACGAAGAAAGTCGGTGTTAGGGTCACTTGCGGCGGAATCCGCGTAAACGTCCCATCCGGGAAGTCGCCGTCGAGAGCTACCTCCACCGACGTAAAATGCCAGGCTAATATCCGTGTCAAGATCTGGAAATGGACTTTCTAAAAGAAATAAAAAGAAAAGAAATTTATCATTATTATTACTTATTAGTGGTTTAAAAAAAATAGTTCTCGGTATATTCTTTGATTTTTGTTATTAGGTGAGATTTTTATTACTATAAATATTGTGATTGTATACGTAATTTACGCCATTATTATTATTGCTTAGTTCGAGTATCCTTTTGGAGGTTTAATCCAATTTGGTAATAATTGGGTGGTTGTATTGAATTGGTATTGAATATTGATTCTTTGATTTGTAATGTTTATATATACCAATAATTGTGATGAAACTGTGAAACGATTAAAATAATTGTGCTTAGTAACTCTTTTGAAAACCGGATAAGCATGATAATCTGAAGGGTCACCGAACGGGCTCTACCATAGTACCATGTGGCATGTTACTGTAGAACATAATTTTAGTTATTTTTCATATAATTTTTTATGTATTTTATTAATACAATAGATTTTATTTTTTTCATAAATTAGGAGAATCAACCTATCGGCCTATCCAACTACTTCAGCAAAAATTTTATAAATTTGAGTAAAATCAGCTGATTAAGCCAATTTCAGTGCTACTAAATTGGCTCATAATCTTCTATTCTAAAATTAGTATTTGTTGCATGGGATGCAAAATATAAAGATTACAAAAGTTAACTATAAACGCAATTCTAGATAAAAAAAATTGGATCTTGTCTAGGAATGTCCAAAAAATTCAAAAGTTGTGCCAAAAATCTACGAGTACATGGTATTTTATTATTCATACATGTTAAATTCAAAAGTGAACAATAAGATTTCGTGTGTGTGTAAATGTATTTAGTCAACATATTAGTATCTTAACTCTATGTTGAACAATTGGAATTGACACTAATAAGAGACCTTCACATCACTTGGTCTGCTTACTGCTTGATATGAATTATACACACCAATAACATCGACTCCCTAATTTTAAATAAGAGAATTGTTAGAATGTAAAATCATATAAAAATACACAGAAAAAGTAGAAAAATTGTTGAATTTTAATTTTCTTATTGAAGGGATACCACACAAATCTCATGCCTCAACATCTGGAGAATGGATAATGAACTTATAATGAACATAACGATTCCTACGGTTTACATAAAAAGGCATAGAATTAAACGGCTCTCCTTCAAAGGTCCAATTATAAAAAAAATCAATGAAATCATTCACATATAAATACCAACAAACCTCATTACTGTCAAGAAATTTGCTATTTTTGCACTTCGTACCTTACATTATTTCCATCCATATATTGCGTTTGCGCATGTGCAAAATTAACAAATTTAATACAGAGTAACAAACTTTCTGTCAAGATCTATACATCTAACCTCTAACACATCTATAAATTAAGCCTGAATATTTTTAAAATAACAAAAATTAATATATATTCATTTCTAAACATTAGCAAATTTTAAAACGATAAAAAGCAAATTTTAAAAAATATAACTTATAAAAGATAATATGCAATATAAATTTGATCTTAAAGAAACAAAATACATACCTTGTACATTAACAATAGCTTCTTTGAGAAAAATAACCACATAGAAATACTTGACATCATCAAATGGAGGACAAATTATATAGGCAACATCTATCAAAAGATGGATTGGTACAAGACTATATAATATATATTGAACACGAACCCATTTGCTTCAATTTTTTGACACAGAATTTAGCATGGAACCGCGATCATAATTAATTCAATTTTAATAGTTAAAACTTACATATTCAAAAAGGGCGGCCGCCCTCCGTAGCCGCCTGCGGAGGGATGTGATTTATGAGCTGATCGGTCGTTGAGACAAGACGGGAGGCGATCAAAAAGGGCGGCCGCCCTACTAAAGCGCCTGCGGCGTATTCAACGCGTGCACGTAGCTTTATCGGGGATGTGAATGAAGGCTGTCGGCCATGGCCGGAGGACGACCTCCCTTCTGGCCGCCTTCCACAAAACTCCGGCTATAAAATCACTCTTCCATCCACAACTCAAAACACACCATCTCACACCAAACTCAAAAAAATGGTGTCTTCTTCCTTCTCAAGGCTCGGGTTTCGACCATTGTGGACCTTCAACTTCAATCTTTCCCATCTTTCTCATTTTAGCTCCAATTTGTAAGTTCTCTATGTGAAAATTCATCCTCTCATCGTGTAGATTCCGAATATGATGTTTTTATTTCCCAAATATTGGTGAAAAACTCTCTGAATTAATTTTAAGAATTGTGTGTTTTCCATTTTTATTCAAGAAAAGTAGTTTTTGTTATTATATGAATCTCCTACTTAGATAACCTCACTACATAGTATGATTGTTCTAAAAATCGGCCTAGTCGGACCGATTAATCGGCCTAGGTCGCCTAGTCGGCCCTAACTGAGGAACACTAATCGGCCTAGTCGGCCAAATAATCGGCCTAGTCGGTCGCCTAGGCGCTAGGCGCTCCTCAACCGCCCGACTAGCTAAGCGCCTAGCGAGTTTTAGAACAATGCCTAGTATAAATGGTGATTATTTGTGAAATAAAAGAAAGTTTAGATGTTGAGAGTATTCACTTTAATATTTTCTTTTGTTGTTATTATTTATGATTATGTTGTAAAGTGTTAAAACTAGTAATGAGTTGTTGTAGTTAATTTACTCTTGGACATGAGTTGAATTAAAGAATATGGGTTGACCTTGTTTGACTGAAAATTAGGAGTTTAACTAATTTTATGGACTAGTTGTTTAAAATGATTAATTTGATTACTTAATAGATTTGGTCATTTCATTAATTAAACTTTGAAAGATTATTTATAACTTGTCTATGAGATTATAAATAGTTTAAACCAAACATATTGAGCACATTAATGAAATCTAGAGATAGGATAAATTAATGGATAGAATTCAATCTTTGTCTATGAGGAATAAATTCAATTGTTTAATATGAGAAATTTAACTAATTAATGAAGTTGACCATTTGTTAGCTAAAATGCGGAAAATTATATCTATCTTGTCTATGAGAATTGAACATAATTTAGGCCAACCATTTTAAACACATTAATGAAGCCTAGAAATACGATAAATTAGTGAAAGTAACTTAAATTTTGGCAATGAGAAAAGAAATTACTAGTTCAATCTTTAGTTATAAATACTCCTAATTATTAGGTCCAAGCTAAAAGGATGTACCCATATTTTATAATTCAATTCATTGCCCTTCTTGGATCAATCAATTTAGATTTTAATATTATATTTTTCATTTAGTTTATTTTTGAGTCATCATTAGTATTTGCATAATTTAATTTATTACTTTCTTTTTTCAAAATATTTTAGAAAATCAATCAAAAGTTTTAATTTGAAAAGCTTCCAATAATTTGCGACAACCTGTGACTGGACTTATCAAGAAACTCCTCTGCCATTCCTTAAGAGACACAATACTCGGAAAAAAAATGAAAGGTTAGACTTCGTTTTACTACAACGCCGCGAAAGCGGATATCATCCCACTCTGGGTACGCCTCTGTTGAACCTAAGCAAAAAGTTTGTTGATATCTATTCTGTTGATTTCAAAGTAAGTGATGGGGATGGTGTGCCTGTAATGTGTGATATGAATGTCATAGCTCTAATCGAAATACATGAAGGTGTTCTGTGCATAGTTGTTTATTTGGAAAAGGATAAAAAAGCTAAGCCCTAGGGATTTAGGATGCCATAGGACCTGCCACGGGACAATGCATCATTAGGTATACTTCGTTTTGCCTGTCTATTTTTTGTTTTTTTAGATATAGGTACTGATTTTCATGGGATGGTGTTAATTTCTGAAATCTTGGGTTCAAGGTATATCACTCTAGATGTTTATACTCCCTCCGTCCCAGAAAATTCTTCCCACTTTTAAATAAATTCGTTTATACTGGGATTATGTATAGGGATTACCTATATAGGGATTACCTGTTTATTAAAATTAAACATGTAATTTTATGTATAGGGATTACCTGTTTATACTCCCTCCGTCCCAAAACATCATATAAATAAATTCGTATAGTTTTTAAAGAGATATAACAGGTAATCCCTATACATAATCCCAAATTTTAATTTTTACGCTTAATTTCTATTAAAAATTCACTTGTTAGAGCAGGTAATATGCGGTCATGGATTATTATTGATGGACGGTCCATATAGTTGAGATTATACAAAAATAGTCAATTGTTGGGATTATTGTTAGCGGACCAGCAATAGTTGGGATTATTATTTTCAATTTTTCCTGTGCTAATTAGAACTCAAATCTCAATCAAATCCCAGAATCTTCCCCCGCTAAGTGCCCGCCCGATAGCCAATGGGTCAGCACACTGTCACATGGTTGCTCTGATACCACCTGTAACATCCCACCCCGTAGGGCATGAGGTAGTTACTCCACACACCCTTCAAACCTTTCATACTGTCCTCACAAACCACCATGAGCTTTTATCGCACACTTTGTCTTCACCCATGTGCGCTCTGAGAAACTTCCCAATGGGTCACCCATCCCAAGACTACTCACGTGCAAGCACGCTTAACTTTGAAGTTCTTAGCTCATGAGCTCCCTTAAAAAGAGATGCAACTTGTTGGTATGAGTAGGATTATTAATCCATTTATATTAAATCTCAAGTATTACATCAACTATTCATAACTCTTTCTTAAAACTTTGACATGGATGAAGAGCTTCAAACTATCAGTGAGTCCAAGACTATTAAGGTAATTAAGTAGCATTATACTCTATCCGTTTCCAAAAGAAAGTCACGGTTTGACTTCACGATTATTAAGGAAATAAATTGACTTTACTGTAGAAAACACTATTTATACACTGTTTGACACTGTTTGGACACCGTTTCGCACTGTTTGGATGTAGATTTCTTTGCCGATTAAGGAAATAAGAGATGTGTGACTTTGTTTTTGAAACATCTCAAAAAGGAAAGTGTGAGTTTCTTTTAGAAACGGAGGGAGTATTATTTAAGTTGATATGTTGTAAATAAGAGCTTCTAGAGATAAGTAATCAAAAACTCTTAGGAGGCGTTTCCTTCGCTGCTAAAGTCACAGTTAGGTTAGTAAGACAAATGAATTAAACACGCAAATTGCTTAAAACACTCCTTACTAACCGAAAGAGATGCTTAAAGTGCCGCTTACTAAGCAAACCACCCCCTACTCTATTAAGCTTTTCAGTTTCCCAATTTACCCTTACCTTTACCCCTTGCCCTTACTCTATTGCTACCCCACTACCCCCTCTACCTTACCTTACCCCGACCCCAACCCCACCCTGACCCCCTTCACCCGACCATACCCCACCCCACCTTACCCCTACCCCGACCCTACCCTCCACCACCTGCCCTACCCCACCCCACATACCTACCCCCCTTCCCTACCCCGACCCTAACCCCCTGCCCCTACCTCGACCCCACCCCCTTCCCTATCCCCACCCCAACCCCCACCCTTGACCCGACCATACCCCACCCCACCCCTACCCCGACCCTACCTTCCACCATCTGCCCTACCCTCACCCCTTTACCCCTACCACCTTCCCTTACTTTGACCCGACCCCGACCTTGACCCCACCCCCTTCATTACCCCGACCCTAACCCCCTACCCCGACCCCACCCCCTAACCCCCTTGCCCAACCCCAACCCCACCCTGACCCCCTGAACCCCCCACCCTTGACCTGACCATACCCCACCCCCACTCATACCTCAACCCTACCCTCCACCACCAGCCCTTGCCCACCCCAACCCTCACCCTTACCCTACCCCTTACCCCCTACCTTGACCCGACCCTGACCCCCTACCCCCACTAGTACCCCTTACCTCGACCCTACCCTTTTACCCCTACCACCTTCCCCTACCTTGATCCCACCCTGACCCCACCCCGACCCCGACCCCACCCACTCCCATTACCATACCCCGACCCCTACCCCTTTACAACATATCACATGCCCCTACCTCGACCCAACCCCTACGAGTAGGATGGGTGTGGGGGGTATGGGTGGAGGGTGAGGTCATGGCAAGGGTAGGGGTAGGAAAAGGGGTGGGGGTCAAGGGTGTGGAATTGGGGGTAGGGTGAGGGGTGGGGTACAAGGCGGGGTAGGGGTTAGGGGTGTGGGTAAGCGACTAAGCGTACGAGGTGACCCCACATATTATATTATATACCTGTGTTCATAAATGTTCGTGTGTGTATATATCTATAGGGTTATTTTGGACATTTTAATGTTAAACGGTGTTTTAAATCATTTTAAGTAAACATGAACTTACAACACTGCTTATATGCGCCGCTTATTAACGCGAGTCTTAATAAGCACCGTTTACTAACCCGTGAAGTAAACGTGTCCTTAAGGTAAATAAATATCATTATCTTATTTGTGTTGATATGCTTGAGTTAAAAGCATCTGTTTGATGATTATGCTTCTCTTTTAGGAGTTTCGTTTGCCTTTAAAATCAGTGGGCCAGCTTGTTCTTGCAAAATATACTCCTGTAAGTGCAGATGGTAAATTTGGTGAACCTGATTTTATCATATCTGATAAGTCGGGTGAAAGTAAGTTAGTTTTACTACTATAATACATTTTTATGTTATATGAATATATGTAGAAAAAATGTATAATGAGTTCTTCTATAAAATAACCTCAGGTGTACAAAAAGAAAGAAAAGTTAGATGAGAAAATAAGAACAAAAAGGTTGATGTTCTGAAACAAGGAGAAAAATTTGAACTTATATTCTACAACAATCAAAGTGATAAAAGAACTATCCCACTCAACCGTCGACATGTTTGCCACAGTCTCTTCTTTTTCTTGAGAGTACTTACTGCATTAATAACTAATATTTTGAAATCTAGATATTGACAGTAACGAAAAAATGATTAAAGTATGTTTTGTAGTTGAGAAACGATTGAACTTTATCACAGTTTTTTAAAACATAAATGTGAGCAATTTATCAGACGTGAAGAATCTGTCATCATTCCAATCAAGTGGTCGTCCAGTTTGTTAAAAAAAGATCAGGACTAGTACCACATCCAAGTGCTCGTCCAGTTTGTGAAAATATAGACATTTCACCATCATCAGCCTTGAAGAATCCGTCATCATTCCGCTCAATTGTATTAAACTTTGTCTTGATGCCTTTAAAGTATCTTAAGCAAAGAGTCATACACTCCTTGGCAATATAACATTCTGCCATTGAGCCTTCTGGACATTCCATATTACGAATAAATTTCTTTAATTGATATAGCATCCTCTCACTAGAATACATCCATCTGTATTGAGGAGGTCCAGATATTTTAGCCTCACTAGCCAAGTGCACAAGCAAATGCACCATCACATCGAAAAATGAAGGAGAGAATATTTTTTCTAACTTGCACAAAGTCAAAGCAATATGTGATTCAACTTGCTCTAGCTCATCAACCCTTAATGTCTTCGCACATATACTTTTAAAGAACAATGAAAACTCAACAACAGGCTCATAAACATAGCTACGAAGGTGCCCACGTATTTCAAGAGGAATAAGATGTTTGTTGTAGAAGAACATGGCAATCATGACTTTTTAACCCTGAAATTTCATGATCCTTCATGTTCACAGATTGAGATATATTAGAAGAAAATCGATCTCGAACTCTCAATTGCTTTAGAAATAAGAAAAGTAAGTGTTTCTCTTTCTTAGACAGTGTGTAAGATGCTGCACGCAAATCCAGTTTATCTCCTTTGCGAATGGGGTGCAACTCTGGTCTAATTTTCATAATCTCCAAGTCAAGGCGTGATTGAGCATGGTCTTTTCTTTTACACCGGATATTCATAATCGTTCCAAGAACATTTTCACATGTATTCTTCTCAATGTGCATCACGTCTAAATTGTTCTGCAATAAGAGAGTACTCCAATACGGCAGCTTAAAAAAGACACTTTTCTTGTTCCAATTATCACCTCATTTCTTTTGTGAAATTTTCACCTTTTGCTACTATCTTTTGTTAGAGGTATTCCTGCAAGGTCATTCACCTGTAAGTGTACCTCAGTTCCTGAAAGTGAAGGTGACATTGGCTGTGATCTTATCTCTTTTGTCCCATCAAATGATCTTTTATCATTCCTCCATTTGTGGTTTTTCGGAAGAAAACACTGGTGACACATATAACATTGGTTCTTGCAAATAGTTAATTGCATAGAACAAGAACTCTTATTGCAATATGGGAATGCCATTTTACCCATTGTGCTCCAGCCAGATAGGTTTTCGTATGCACGGAAGTCATTAATAGTCCACAACAATGATGCATGTAACTTGAAGTTCTGATGGCTTGATGCATCAAAAGTGTCTACACCTACTTCCCACAACCCCTTCAATTCTTCTATTAAGGGACTGAGATAGACGTCGATTGCATCTCATGGGCCATCAGGACCAGGTATGAGCATGGAAAGAATAAAATTAGATTCTTTCACACACATCCAAGGAGGCAGATTGTAAGGAATGAGTATTACTGGCCAAATGCTATATGGTGTTTTTGAATGATTAAATGGTTGGAAACGGTCACTTGCCAAATATGGGGTTTATTACATGCTCGAGTTTGGATTCTGATGATGTTTGGGGTTTGTTTCCGTCTTTTCTGGCTACTGTCAAAATGCCGTCTTTCTGCTTCTCACCTATGCCGTTGGGGGTCGCCGGGGCTCGACGGGGGTGGGGGTTGAAAACGGATTACGGGATGGCAGCTTCTTCACTCCGCCTTGGGTTTGGGTTCCTCCAATTTTCTGGCCACCGGACCGTCTGGTGGTTGCCGGAATCAGATGGGGTGGTTGGGGCGGGTGAAAGGGGAGGGTTGGGCTTGGTGAGCGGGCTTGACTCTGGAGTGCGGCGCTGACCAGTAGCGATGCTAGGCTTTGGGAATATGGGCTGACCCGAGAACCTTCAAAACCCTAGCCCGCTAGGTGTGCTGGAGAGCTTAGTTCGGTCCGTAGCTGATGTGCTTCGGTTTCGGGCTGGATTGCTGGGCATTTCTTCCGACTTTAGTTTCTGGGCCGCGGATCCTGAAGGTTATTTGCTGATGCTGAAGGGATTTATGGGCCTTCACTGGTCCAGCAACCTGCAAGCTGGGTTTAATTGTTTTGCTGGACTTTCTGCAGGGATGGGCCTTAATTGGCCCGGAACTGGTTGGTGACTTTTTGATGCGTGTCGGGGCTTGTCCTATGCCGCTTTGGTGATGTTCCATTAAACTCTCTCCCCCGCCCACCTCCTCACGGGGTGGGGTGGGAGTTATAATGGTTAGATACTATTTTAGTTAGATTAGCTAGTTTTTATAGTTTTGATACATTGTATAATGTTATTTTTGGATGTTTTTAATATAATTACCTTTCATAAAAAAATGGAAATCTTTGGGTATCAATAAAATCAGCAATTGGATGGCGCTTTTATGTTACTTATATTACTTCCTGGTTTTAGGTTCTTTAGTATTTTGCTTACTAATCATTTCATTTCCTTACCTGAATGAAATATGGTATGATACACACAATAAATTTTAGATACACTAAATATATTATACTTCCCCCGTTCTTTAGTTCTTGCAACATTGTGATTTTTGCACTATTCACAGATCTTATTTTGACCACGATTTTCTACTAATATACACAATCAAATTATTACGTATAAAATGTCATTAAATTCCTATTAATGTGAATTTCCTTTTTTTAACTCAAGGGAGGTCTGGGGGAGGGGGCCTGGGGGCCTGGAGTAATCAGGGCTGAAACTCACTCCATTGCGTTTTGAACCCTTATGTGCCTAGCGGGTTTCGAACTCGAGACCTCCCACTAGGCACGATAACCTCACAACCAGCTGGGATGGAATGCTTGGTTCTATTAATGTGAATTTCCAAAATATCAAATTTTTATAATGTTTACTTGTCACGCCCCGGACCGCATCCGAGCCACGTAGACAACCGCCGTGCAACCCGATAAGAACAACAACAGTTCATCCCTATTGAATTGCACAAGGCGTCCGATTGATTCTTTTGCCAAACCGATTAGTAAACACATATAATCAACATCAATATCATAATCAAACAAATGCGGAAATAGTAATATGTTTGATACTTAGCCACACGTGGCAAACACGGGCACGCAGGCCCCCAACTGTTTTAAGGAAAACATTGTTCAAAAATCCATGAGCAGTTTATAAATTTCAAAAATACGAATGGAAGCACGAACCACGTCTTCCTCCTTGGATGATCACCCTAGGTGAAGGTGCAGGTAGTAGGACTCTAGCCTCAACCTCAAAAATGTGAGAGCCCCCGGAGGGGTCAGTACTCCATAGAAGTACTAGTGACAAGCAGGCTATATGAAGAATAACTAATGTTTCAGACACGAGACCCAAAAATAGGGTGATACATATATATAGATGTCTCTCATCCACCCGATGATACATACTGTATATATACTCGTAAAATACTCAACCCGTAGGTCATTTACCTTAAAGAGTCTTTTAGAGATAAAGTTCTTACCTGACTTTTCTCACTCCTTTCCCGGTTGCCTAGCTCACAAGCTATAGTCTGCCTTCGATTTCATACTACCAAGTGTTTTAGGATCATTTACCGTCCAAGGCACTCAACCCAACCTGGAGTATTTAAGATCATTTACCGTCCAAGGGTACTCAGCCCCACCTGGAGTATTCTGGATCATTTACCGTCCAAGGGTACTCGACCCCACCTGGAGTATTCTGGATCATTTACCGTCCAAGGGTACTCGACCCCACCTGGAGTATTCTGGATCATTTACCGTCCAAGGGTACTCGACCCCACCTGGAGTATTCTGGATCATTTACCGTCCAAGGGTACTCGACCCCACCTGGAGTATTCTGGATCATTTACCGTCCAAGGGTACTCGACCCCACCTGGAGTATTCTGGATCATTTACCGTCCAAGGGCACTCAATCCCCTGTCTATCCTCTACCAAATCCTAACCTGGATATGGCTAACCTTTCATTCCTTTAACTATGGACAATGCCTAGCCCTATAGTCATATAACAATCCTTAGGATCCAACGTGGGCGGGTCCCACCTGAACGGCCCACGTTAACGCACTCAAAACTGCCCATTTTGAGCATAAACCAATACTCGATCGAGTATCTACCCATACTCGGTCGAGTACAGGAGGCAGTAGCCCACAAAGCTGATTTTCAATGTATACTCGATCGAGCAGCTACCCATACTCGATCGGGTATAGGAGGCAGTAGCCTCTTGGGCAATTTTTCAACAAATACCCGGTCGGGTATGTGTCAATACCCGGTCGGGTATGGCAGTTGACTTGGCAGTCAACGCCCGTTTGACCACCCAAACGGAGTCCGATTAACGTGAAATTTTATACACATATACTTCTTGACATCCTTGATCCAAAAATACCATTTTGGATCCCTGGAACATCACACATAATAAGTTATCACATTTTTTATCACTAAACCTACATAACATGCTTTTCAACTATGTTTTATGTGTAATCATGGTATAAGCAAATACTTGATTATTCTTAATCATTCCATAAAACATATTTTTTATTACTTTAGGTAATATCATACCTCACGCAAAAGTTATAAATCATAAAGTCGTCTTCTCACCTTAATGAAGCTTATGAAGTTCTAGCCTTCCCGATTTAGCTCCGGCGAAACTCCAGCGAACTTCAACGAACTCCGGCGACAACTCCGGCTCCCCTTTCAACATCGTGAAAGTTCCTTGAATACCTTAGACAAGTTATTAACAAGGTTTTATCATCATAAAACCCTTAGTAATACAAATAACCTCAAAAAGGTTATTTTCCGGCGAACCGGTCACTTTGGCTTCTAAGTCCGTTCTTGGACTTAGAACTACCTTCCAACCCCTCATTCTACACTTCCAAACGTGTAGAACAATCCTAGGGGGTGAAATATGAATGAATAATCATATAAGAGGATTGAAGAACAAGAAATAGGATTAATGGAGTCATTACCTTGTTAAACACAAGTTTTCCCACCTAAACTCCTCTTTTCTCTTCTCTTTTTTCCTTTCTTCTTCCTCCCTTAACTTGGTGCGTGTATGATGGATGAAATGGGTTATTTTCAGAGATTCTTTCACTTGGTTGATGCCTGATACGAATGGGGTGAGTTAGTATGATTGAGAATGCCTTCTTGGCATGTGGGAGGCCCTACTCCATTTAATGCCTTTCCCCTCAACCCCTTTTCTTTCCCCTACCCCTTCTCTTTGTGCGGCTCCCCTTGACATTTGCAGCACCAAATAGGTGGGGTGGCCCCCACTCATGTGGGAGGTCATCCCTTTATGTCCCCAAGTGTACAATCGGTCCCGAAAGTTGTATTTTCCGGACTATTTCAATTAAATTTTATTTTATCTGGTCAAATAAAATGTAGCACTTGTTCCCAATCTTTATTGAACCTTAGAATGAATATGCATTCCTCAACTTTAATTTAGAAGTCTCCGAAATCCCTTTTCGGGCTGTTATCTGTTAAATTGTCGATACTGATAATTTGGCCCCGTTTGACCAACCGGTCAACCCTATGCCATTGCCATGCCCCAATTTGGATATCCACCACCATATAAATATTATCTAGTCCAAGATTAATATAATATGTGGTCCCGATAATATCGGGCGGCCCCACATCAGGTGTGGGCCCCACGTGAATTTTACTGTTCACGTAAAAGAAATGATAAAAATTTACAATCACGAAAAAATGCTTTTATACATTTCTCAGGGTTCAATACATGATTTGATAAAGTACAAATACTTGGGGGCGGTGTTACAAGTTCTACCCCCTTATTTGGGATTTCGTCCCCAAAATCCACGCGTCTAGTCGAACAGAAATGGATATTGTTCCCTCATTAGGGTCTCCACTTCCCAAGTTTGTTCCTCGACACGATCACTCTTCCAAAGTACTTTTACCATTAACACCTCTTTGCTCCTTAGCTTCTTCACCTGTCGGTCCATAATCTTTACCGGCTGCACCGTATATTGTAGGACTTCTCGGATTTCTACCGGTGGTTTCTCAAGAATGTGTGACGGGTCCCGCACATACTTCTTGAGCATAGAAACATGAAACACATTGTGAATCTTCTCTAACTCTGGAGTCAACTGGAGTCGGTAGGCTACGACCCCGATCCTTTCAAGGATTTTGAACGGACCTATGTAACGTGGGTTAAGCTTACTCCGGCTGAGGAACCTGATGATCCCTTTCCAAGGTGATACCCTCAGAAATACCTCGTCACCGACCTCAAACTCCAATGTTCTCCGACGTTTATCAGCATAGCTTTTCTGCCGGTCTTGGGTAGCCTTGAGCCTATCCTGTATGACTTTTATCTTCTCTTTAGTGATCTCGACTAGCTCGGTGCCCTCGAGCTTAGCCTCGCCGGCCTCGTCCCAACATAATGGTGTCCGGCATTTCCTCCCATACAATGCTTCGTATGGAGGCATGCCTATACTCGCCTGATAACTGTTGTTATAGGCGAATTCCACTAAGGCCAACTGATTGTCCCAGCTTCCTTGGAACTCCAAGGCACATGCCCTCAACATGTCCTCCAAAATCTGAATCACCCGTTCAGATTGCCCATCCGTTTGAGGATGAAATGTGTCACGCCCCGGACCGCATCCGAGCCACGTAGACAACCGCCGTACAACCCGATAAGAACAACAACAGTTCATCCCTATTGAATTGTACAAGGCGTCCGATTGATTTTATTGACAAACCGATTAGTAAACACATACAATCAACATCAATATCATAATCAAACAAATGCGGAAATAATAATATGTTTGATACTTAGCCACACGTGGAAAACACGGGCACGCAGGCCCCCAACTGTTTTAATGGAAACATTGTTCAAAAACCCATGAGCAGTTTATAAATTTCAAAAATACGAATGGAAGCACGAACCACGTCTTCCTCCTCGAATGATCACCCTAGGCAAAGGTGCAGATAGTAGGACTCTAGCCTCAACCTGAAAAATGTGAGGGCCCCCGGAGGGGTCAGTACTCCTTAGAAGTACTAGTGACAAGCAGGCTATATGAAGAATAACTAATGTTTCAGACACGAGACCCAAAAATAGGGTGATACATATATATAGATGTCTCTCATCCACCCGATGATACATACTGTATATATACTCGTAAAATACTCAACCCGTAGGTCATTTACCTTAAAGAGTCTTTTTGAGATAAAGTTCTTACCTGACTTTTCTCACTCCTTTCCCGGTTACCTAGCTCACAAGCTATAGTCTACCTTCGATTCATACTACCGAGTGTTTTAGGATCATTTACCGTCCAAGGCACTCAACCCATTCTGGAGTATTTAAGATCATTTACCGTCCAAGGGTACTCGGCCCCAACTGGAGTATTCTGGATCATTTACCGTCCAAGGGTACTCGACCCCACCTGGAGTATTCTGGATCATTTACCGTCCAAGGGTACTCGACCCCACCTGGAGTATTCTGGATCATTTACCATCCAAGGGTACTCGACCCCACCTGGAGTATTCTGGATCATTTACCGTCCAAGGGTACTCGACCCCACCTGGAGTATTCTGGATCATTTACCGTCCAAGGGTACTCAATCCCCAGTCTATCCTCTACCAAATCCTAACCTGGATATGGCTAACCTTTCATTCCTTTAACTATGGACAATGCCTAGCCCTATAGTCATATAACAATCCTTAGGATCCAATGTGGGCGGGTCCCACCCGAACGACCCACGTTAACCTACTCAAAACTGCCCGTTTTGAGTGTAAACCAATACCCAGGCGGGTATCCAACCTTACCCGGTCGGGTAGGGTGAGGCAGTAGCCCCTGGAGCAAACTTTACTTGAGACCCGGTCGGGTCTATACCCATACCCGGTCGGGTCTAGTGTGGCAGTGGCTTCTGGAGCCATTTTTAATCAAAACCCGGTCGGGTATTTATCAATACCCGGTCGGGTCTCACCTTCGTCTTGGCGGTCACCGCTCGTTTGACCGCCCAAACGAAGTCCGATTAACGTGAAATTTTATACACTTATACTTCTTGACGTCCTTGATCCAAAATACCATTTTGGATCCCTGGAACACCACACATAATAAGTTATCACATTTTTAATCACCAAACCTACATAACATGCTTTTCAACTATGTTTTATGCAAAATCATGGCATAAGCAAATACTTGATTATCTTTAATCATTCCACAAAACATATCCTTGATTACTTTAGGTAATCTCATGCCTCACGCAAAAGTAATAAAGCATAAAGCCGTCTTCTCACCTTAATGAAGCTTATGAAGTTCTAGCCTTCCCGATTTAGCTCCGGCGAAACTCCGGCGAACTTCAACGAACTCCGGCGACAACTGCGGCAACTCTTTCAACTCCGTGAAAGTTCCTTGAATACCTTAGACAAGTTACTAACAAGGTTTTATCATCATAAAACCCATAGTAATACAAATAACCTCCAAAAGGTTATTTTCCGGCGAACCGGTTACTTGGGCTTCTAAGTCCGTTCTTGGACTTAGAACCACCTTCCAACCCCTCATTCTACACTTCCAAACGTGTAGAACAATCCTAGGGTGTGAAATATGATTGAATAATCATATAAGAGGATTGAAGAACAAGAAATGGGATTAATGGAGTCATTACCTTGTTAAACACAAGTTTTCCTCTCCAAAGCCAACTTTTCTCTTCTCTTTTCCCCTCCTTCTTCCTCCTTTGCTCTTGGTGCGTGTATGGATGGTAACAATGAAGTTTTGCAGACATTATTTCTCCTCTTTGAGTAGGTTGGCCGATATGTATCAGTTGTGGGGTGAGGGAGATAGCCCTTTTGGCTTATTCCCCAAATAATATGGGGGGAGGGTCCCCTCAACTTACATATTTGTCCCCCAATCACTTCCAAACCAATTCCAGCTCCATGATGCGGCTCCCTCCTTCATTTGAAATCCTAAAAACGTGGGTTGGCCCCCACTTATGTGGAAGGTCAACCCTTTGTGTACCCGAATGTACAATTGGTCCCGAAAGTTGTATTTTCCGGGCTGTTTCAGTTATAATTTATTTTATCGGGTCAAATAAAATATAAAACTTGTTCCCAATCCTTATTGGAACTTAGAATGATTATATGCATTACTCAACTTTAATTTAGAAGTCTCCGGAATCCCTTTTCGGTCTGTTATCTGATAAATTTGCAGATACCGATAATTTGGCCCCGTTTGACCAACCGGTCAACTCTACGCCATTGCCATGGCCCAATTAGGATATCCACCACCATATAAATATTATCTAGTCCAAGATTAATATAATATGTGGTCCCGATAATATCTGGCGGCCCCCACCTCCGGTGTGGGCCTCACGTGAATTTTACTATTCACGTAATAGAAATGATAAAAATTTACAATCACGTAAAAATGCTTTTATACATTTCTCAAGGTTCAATACATAATTTGGTACAGTACAGATACTCGGGGGCGGTGTTACAAGTTCTACCCCCCTTATTTGGGATTTCGTCCCCGAAATCCACGCGTCTAGTCAAACAGAAATGGATATTGTTCCCTCATCAGGGTCTCCACTTCCCAAGCTTGCTCCTCGACACGATCACTCTTCCAAAGTACTTTTACCATCGGCACTTCTTTGCTCCTTAGCTTCTTTACCTGTCGGTCCATAATTTTCACTGGCTGCACCGTATAGTGCAGGTCTCCTCGGATTTCCACCGGTGGTTTCTCAAGAATATGTGACGGGTCCCGCACATACTTCTTGAGCATAGAAACATGAAACACATTATGAATCTTCTCTAACTCTGGAGTCAACTGAAGTCGGTAAGCTACAACCCCAATTCTTTCAAGGATTTTGAACGGACCTATGTAACGTGGGTTAAGCTTACCCCGGCTGAGGAACCTGATGATCCCTTTCCAAGGTGATACCCTCAGAAATACCTCGTCACCGATCTCAAACTCCAACGTTCTCCGACGTTTATCAGCATAGCTCTTCTGCCGGTCTTGGGCAGCCTTGAGCCTATCCTGTATGACTTTTATCTTCTCCTTAGTGATCTCGACTAACTCAGTGCCCTCGAGCTTAGCCTCGCCGACCTCGTCCCAACACAATGGTGTCCGGCATTTCCTCCCATACAATGCTTCGTATGGAGGCATGCCTATACTCGCCTAATAACTGTTGTTATAGGCGAATTCCACTAAAGCCAACTGATTGTCCCAGCTCCTCTGGAACTTCAAGGCACATGCCCTTAACATGTCCTCCAAGATCTGAATCACCCGTTCAGATTGCCCATCCACCTGAGGATGAAACGCGGTACTAAACCTCAATTTCGTACCCATGGATTCCTGGAACTTAGGCCAAAACCGTGATGTGAACCGTGGGTCTCTATCCGATACTATAGTAACCGGAACCCCATGCAGTCTCACAATCTCATCTATGTACAATTTGGCCAACCGCTCGAGCGTATAGGTAGTGTTGATAGGTAGGAAATGAGCGCTCTTGGTCAGCCTATCGACTACCACCCATACTGCATCGTAGTTCCTAACCGTCCGTGGTAGACCCACCACGAAGTCCATGGTATAATGCTCCCACTTCCATTCTGGAATGGTAAGTGGTTGTAGTAACCCTGCTGGGTGTTGGTGCTCTGCCTTAACCTGTTGACAAGTAAGGCAACGACTCACGTATTCTGCAATCTCCCTCTTCATCCCTGACCACCAGTAACTTTCTTTCAAGTCCCGGTACATCTTTGTACCGCCCGGGTGCATGGCATACGCAGATGAGTGAGCCTCCTCAAGGATAGATTTTCGGAGCTCCTCATCCGATGGCACACACACTCGTTCCTTGAATAGCAGAAGTCCATCTTCTCTCTCACGGAAACCCTCGACGGGCCCCACAAGCAACCGTTCCCGTATTTTCTGACATTCCTCGTCATTGCCTTGACATGTTCTGATTTCATCTAACAAGGTGGGTCTCACCTCGAATCTGGCCAATAGCGCCCCATCCGTGGATACCTCCACGCGTGCCCTCAGTGCCCGTAAGCATGTGAGTAAAACCCCCGATGATGAGCTCTTCCTGCTCAATGCATCGGCTACTACATTAGCCTTGCCTGGATGATAGTCAATGATCAAGTTGTAATCCTTAATCAACTCCATCCATCTTCTCTGCCTCATGTTCAACTCTTTCTGAGTGAACACATACTTCAAGCTCTTGTGGTCAGTATAGATGTGACACAACTCTCCGTAGAGGTAGTGCCTCCAAATCTTCAATGCAAATACCACAGCACCTAGCTCCAGATCATGTGTGGGATAGTTTACTTCATGCTTCCTCAACTGCCGAGAAGCATAAGCAATTACCTTCCCTGATTGCATCAGTACACATCCCAGTCCCTGAATGCTAGCATCGCTGTAGATGTCATACCCTAACCCTTGCACGGGCAAGGCAAGCACTGGTGCTTCGGTCAAACGTTTCTTTAGCTCAAGAAACCCCTTCTCACACTTGTCATCCCACACAAACTTAGCCCCCTTTTTAGTGAGCTTCGTGAGTGGAGATGCTATCACCGAGAACTTTTCCACGAATTTGCGGTAATACCCCGCTAAACCGAGGAAACTCCTTATCTCCTTCACGTTCTTGTGTAACACCGTCCCCAAATGTATTTACCTTTAAGCGAATAATTTATTGAACCCTATGAAATTTTTAGTGAATTTACGAGGTTGTGAATTTGTATTAATTTTTTCGCGTGAATAGTAAGATGCACGTGGGGCCCACATCGGGAGTGGGGACCGCCCGATATTATCGGGACCACATATTATATTCGTCTGGGTCTAGAAAATATTTATAGATGGTGGATACTTCATTTGGGCCATGGAAAGGCCCAGAGTTGACCGACCGATCAATAGAGGCCCAAATACCGGTATCGATAAACTTATCAGATAAAAGCCCGAAATTGGATTTTTGAGACTTATAAATTAAAATTGGGGAATGAATATTCATTCTAAATGGTATGATGATTTAAGAACACGTAATATATTTATTTAACCCGATAAAATAAAACAGATCTAAAAACAGTCCGGAAAATACAACTTTCGGGGCAAATTGCACACTTTGGGACAAATTAGGATGACCTCCCACATTGGTGGGGGCCACCCCACGAATTTGTCAACCCTTGAGGGCTGGATGAGTGCCAAGTTGGCTGAACAACAATTGAGAGGATGGGGGAGACACCTTTGACATGTAGTAGACCCCCTCCCTTCACTCATTTGTCTAAATGAGACAAAAACCACCCCTCTCACCTCACCATATCCACCCACACGATTCAGCACCCTAGGATAGCAAGGAGGGGCTCTGAAACTTCTCATTTTCACACCCAAATTCGAGCTCAAGAAAGAGGATCCAAAGAGGAGTGCTTGGAGAAGGAAAAAGGTGTAGGAAAGTGTGGAAAATTGAGGTAATCACCTTGCCATAGCTTTCCCTTTATTTTAATTCTACCATGAGGCATAATTATTATATGGAGAACCCTTGGGATGGTTCTCCATGCTCTAAGTATGGATTTATGGGTTGGGAAGTGGTTCTATGTCCAAAAACGGACTTAGAAGCCAAATCGACCGGTTTGCCGGAAAATAACCTTTTATAGGTTATTTGTGTTGATATGGGTTTTGTGATGATAAAACCTTGTTAGGAACTTGATTTAAAGTATTTTTGAGCTTCGCCGGAGTTTCGTCGGAGTTGGTCAAAGTTCGTCGGAGTTGGTCAAAGTTCGCCGGAGTTGGTCAAAGTTCGCCGGAATTGGTCAAAGTTCGTCGGAGTTGGTCAAAGTTCAATCGAGGAACGTAGAACGCGCTTAAGCTTAATTGAGGTGAGGATGACCGACTATGTTGCTTATAATCTTTGGGTAAATCTCATGGGATTTCCTAAGTGAATACAAATGTGATGTGCATGGGTTGTTAATGGTTATTAATGCCTAAATAAAACTACTATTGATTTTAAGTATAGTATGCATGATACACAAATTTATGAATAAATTGTGTATGTTTAGATGTTATGATTATGTGTGTATGATGGTTGTACCAACCTTGAATTTCATTTGAGATAGTATACTTGATACCATGAGGAGAGGCCATGAAGGTATGAAAGTGATACTTGATATTAAGGCAAATCATGCATGAAGAAAGAATTATATTGAAATAAATAAATAACTAGCATTGAAATATTAGTTGGAAATGTTAGTTGAGAAATGGATGAATTAGATCCTAAGAATTTGAATTATAAGGAATCGGTGATTATGAGCCGGGCTCAAGACCGATGTAGATAACGGTGATTATGAGCGGGGCTCTAGACCGTAGTAGATGACGGTGATTATGAGCTGGGCTCTAGACCGTAGTAGATGACGGTGATTATTAGCTGGGCTCTAGATCGTAGTAGATGACGGTGATTATGAGCGGGGCTCTGGACCGTAGTAGATAACGGTGATTATGAGCTGGGCTCTAGACCGTAGTAAATAATGATGAATTGATATTAAATGAACGGATTAACTATAATGTAATGATGCTCTAGATTGAGGGCCTTAGAGATTTAAACTTCGATTATACTTAGTATAGTTGTCATTGTACTTGTCAAATGCTTCCAAGTACTGACCTCCCCTTCACGGGGGAGGCCACCTCACAGTTTCATGTAGAACTTGAAGGTTGCTACTACCAGCCGCTGTTCGGGAAGTTTCTGAGAAGAAGACTTGGTTCGTGCTTCTTCCGTTCTCGTTTGAAAACGATATGAATAATGCTCATGGATAATATTTTCTGAATAATTACTTTGGGGGCTTGCATGCCTAATTATGCCAAGGGTGGCTTGAACACTTGTATCAATTGTTTCCGCTGCTTTAATAAATGTTTTACATTATGTTTGTTTATGGATGTACTATGTGTGAATGGTATTCAAGACGCCTTGTATAGTATGGATGAGTCGGACTGCGGTTGACTATTCGTACTGTACGGCGGGTTGTTGACGTGTCCGGGTAGGTCCGGGGCGTGACATCTTGGGCCTCTCCCAATTAGTGACCGCCTCAATCTTTGAGTTATCAACTAAAATGCCCGAGCCCGATACCACATGCCCGAGAAAACCGATCTCCCCAAGCCAGAATTCACATTTAGAGAATTTGGCAAAGAGTTGCTTCTCCCGCAGTGTTTCAAGCACAAGCCTTAGATGTTTTTCGTGTTCCTCTTCATTCATGGAGTATATCAAAATGTCATCAATGAACACTATGACGAACTGGTCTAAGTATTGGTGAAATACTCGGTTCATGAGGTCCATGAATGCCGCGGGGGCGTTCGTAAGCCCAAACGACATTACGAGAAACTCATAGTGACCATACCCTGTACGGAATGCACTTTTGGGTATGTCACTCTCCTTGATCTTCAGTTGATGGTAGCCTGACCTCAAGTCAATCTTAGAGAACACGGTTGCCCCCGTAGTTGATCAAACAAGTCATCGATCCTTGGCAAAGGGTATTTATTCTTTATCGTGACCTTGTTCAACTGACGGTAATCGATACACATTCTAAGTGTACCATCTTTCTTCTTTACAAAGAGTACCGGTGCTCCCCACGGTGAATGACTCGGCCTGATGAATCCGCTGTCCAGTAATTCTTCCAATTGCACCTTCAACTCTTGGAGTTCAGCCGGTGCCATCCGATATGGAGGAATTGAGATGGGTTTTGTACCGGGTTCTACTTCAATGGTGAACTCAATTTCTCGATCTGGTGGGAGTTCTTCAGGGAAAACTTCTGGGTACTCACTCACCACTCTCACCTCAGTGAGACTCTTTCCCTTGCCTTCCTTGCCTATGACATAGGCCAAGTACGCTTGACACCCTTTCCTCATCATACGCCTTGCTCTTATGGCCGATATGATACAAGGATTGAATTTCTCTCTATCTCCCTCGAAGCATAGAGTATTTCCTTCTCCATCTTTTAGTTCTAACACCTTGGTGTAGCACTCTACCTTCGCATGGTGCTTTTCGAGCCAATCCATGCCAAGTATAGCATCAAACTCGAGCATGTCTAATGGTACAAAGTCAACCATTAGGAAGTGCTCCCCTATCCCTACATTACACGAGGGATAATAGTGTTTCCGCTCTACATCATCTCCCAATGGCGTAGAGACCAGCAAAGGTTGCATCATTGCTACCAAAGGCATGTTCAATCCCTTGGCAAACGCTTCGTTCACAAATGAACGTTGTGCCCCGGTATCGATGAGAATTCTCGCATCCCTATCGTTGATCTTTAGTGTTCCTACATATATAAGTCATGTAAGACACCCTATTCAACATCCCGACTGAAAAGGACCGAGCGAAAAAATTTCAGCCGAGGGATACCCTATACCCGGTCGGGTACATCCCTATACCCGGTCGGGTATCCAATCCAGAAGCAATTATCTTGCTCTACCCGGTCTGGTAAGGCTGATGGGTACCGGAATTTGGCATACCCGGTCGGGTGACTCCTTCTACCCGGCCGGGTCTCTGTTCCAGAAGCGATTCTTCTCCTTTACCCGACCTGGTAGTACCGGCGGGTAGGAAAACTTAGCATACCCGGTCGGGTAACCTACTAGACTCGGTCGGGTGTCTATTCCAGTGAGTTTACCAGGCCAAAATCCCAGCATACCCGGTCGGGTGAGCTACTATACCCGGTCGGGTATCTGTTCCAGTGAGTTTACCAGGCCAAAATCCCAGCATACCCGGTCGGGTGAGCTACTATACCCGGTCGGGTATTAGCTTGGTTTCGTTTAGTTTTCCCGATTCGACTCTAAGTCTGCTCGCAACTGACCCCTAGGGATTATAACTTTAATACCAGCCTAGAAACATACAAGGTTTAGTGCATTACCTGCAACGGAGTCCGGGTTTGCTCGCGCATCCTCCTCGGTCATTGCATACACTCGTGCTTTGGTTCTACCTTGGTTAACGGACGCGACATTGCTAGCCGTGGGTCCGCCCCTTCCGGTGCCGGCCTGAGACGGTCCCGCACGTCCCCTACTAGCCGTAGGTCCTTCAATGGCCCCCGATGGACCGCCTCCATTCAACATTGGGCAAGAGGATTTCAGGTGACTCGTGCTACCACATTTGTAACACCGGGGTGGTTCATTGCACTTCCCCGCATGGTTCTTGCCGCAATTCGCGCACCTCGGTGACCACGTACTCCCTGGTTTGGCCCCTTGCCCTCCTGAGCCTTTATTCCTTTTCGCCGGTGGTGCCGGCGCCCTGAATGAATTGCCACTCCCAGCGTGATGCTTCCGGGAGTGGTCTTGGGGTCCAGAGTATCCCCATCTCCTCTTCTTCGCCTCCTCGGCGTCCCTCAACTTCCTCTCGTTCCATTGGGCTTCCCCAAGGAGCCCTTGATCAACGATCTGGCTAAATGTCATGTTATGATGATACGTAGCCCGGTCACGGATGTCCAACTGTAGAGCATCCCAAAAATGATTGGCCATACGATTTTCATCCAAAGAGTATTCTGGGATGAATCGTGCCAAGTCACGGAACCTTTGTTCCAATTGCCTCACCGAGCAACCATCCTCCTGTTTCAGGTTTGTGTACTCTCTTCTTTTGAGATTGACTTCAAAAGTTGAGTAGTACTGATTATAGAACTCCACTTCGAATTTCTCCCAAGTGGCCTCACCGTGGAACTTTCCTTCCACGCCTTCCCACCATACAACAGCTACCCCTTCCAGTAGCCTGGTGGCAACCCTCAACTTCACGTCGAGTCCAATTTGCATATCCCTAGAAGCATCATTAAGCTTCTTAATCCAGTCGGCGGCCTCAGATATGTCTCCCTTGCCATCAAATGATTTGCACCCCAAGGCCCTGGCCTCCTTGAGGTACTTGGATATACGCACCATCGTGTCTTCCCCAAATGTCCCCGATGGAGCACTAGAAGCACCTCGGCTTCCCTGCCCCATGGTTTGCCTAGCCTGTCTAGCTTGGCGCCGCTGCTCTCTCTTTGTTTTATTCTCGAGGTACCATTCTAGTACCTCACTCATACGGTCATAATGAGGATCATCATCCTCATCTTCATCCTCAAAGTCCTCCCCGGTGTATGGGGTCTCCTCTTGCTCCGTGCTTGGAGCATATGTGAAATCGTCCGGTTCGGTGGCCCTAGATGGGTGCACAGAACCGACATGCGTGCTACTTGCCGTCGGCGTTGTAGAAAGCCCACAGCCCCTGCCTCGGCCTCCTCTTCGGCTTTGGCCTCGGCCTCTACCCCTAGAGGTCCGTGATTCCGCCCGAGTGGCATGCCCGGTGGCCCCCGGCGCATGCCCTATCGGGTTCCTCCTAGTTATCCTGCGTCCACCCTCCATTTCTGAAAGAAATAAGGAATGAGTCATTAGACTCGTTTCAATGTCAATTGACGGATTAGTACAAAAGACACCACTTGGTCCAACATTATGGCCAACAAACTGTTAAGGGTACCGTCTTAACAATAAGAGGTCAATAACTTGGTTTCCAACGGTTCCTTAGGTACAAATATTTTCTGCTCATGGTTTTGTTCAAAACTTTTCGATGGTAGGATATTGAGAGGTTAATTATATAGTTTAGAAATCGATGGCTCTGATACCACTTAATTGTCTCGCCCCGGACCGCATCCGAGCCACGTAGACAACCGCCGTACAACCCGATAAGAACAACAACAGTTCATCCCTATTGAATTGTACAAAGCGTCCGATTGATTTTATTGCCAAACCGATTAGTAAACACATACAATCAACATCAATATCATAATCAAACAAATGCGGAAATAATAATATGTTTGATACTTAGCCACACGTGGCAAACACGGGCACGCAGGCCCCCAACTGTTTTAATGGAAACATTGTTCAAAAACCCATGAGCAGTTTATAAATTTCAAAAATACGAATGGAAGCACGAACCACGTCTTCCTCCTCGAATGATCACCCTAGGCAAAGGTGCAGGTAGTAGGACTCTATCCTCAACCTGAAAAATGTGAGGGCCCCCGGAGGGGTCAGTACTCCATAGAAGTACTAGTGACAAGCATGCTCTATGAAGAATAACTAATGTTTCAGACACGGGACCCAAAAAATAGGGTGATACATATATATAGATGTCTCTCATCCACCCGATGATACATATTGTATATATACTCGTAAAATACTCAACCCGTAGGTCATTTACCTTAAAGAGTCTTTTAGAGATAAAGTTCTTACCCGACTTTTCTCATTCCTTTCCCGGTTACCTAGCTCACAAGCTATAGTCTACCTTCGATTCATACTACCGAGTGTTTTAGGATCATTTACCGTCCAAGGCACTCAACCCATCCTGGAGTATTTAAGATCATTTACCGTCCAAGGGTACTCGGCCCCACCTGGAGTATTCTGGATCATTTACCGTCCAAGGGTACTCGACCCCACCTGGAGTATTCTGGATCATTTACCGTCCAAGGGTACTCGACCCCACCTGGAGTATTCTGGATCATTTACCGTCCAAGGGTACTCGACCCCACCTGGAGTATTCTGGATCATTTACCGTCCAAGGGTACTCGACCCCACCTGGAGTATTCTGGATCATTTACCGTCCAAGGGTACTCAATCCCCAGTCTATCCTCTACCAAATCCTAACCTGGATATGGCTAACCTTTCATTCCTTTAACTATGGACAATGCCTAGCCCTATAGTCATATAACAATCCTTAGGATCCAACGTGGGCGGGTCCCACCCGAACGACCCACGTTAACCTACTCAAAACTGCCTGTTTTGAGTGTAAACCAATACTCGGTCGGGTATCCAACCTTACCCGGTCGGGTAGGGTGAGGCAGTAGCCCCTGGAGCCAACTTTACTTGAGACCCGGTCGGGTCTATACCCATACCCGGTCGGGTCTAGTGTGGCAGTGGCTTCCGGAGCCATTTTTAATCAAAACCCGGTCGGGTATTTATCCATACCCGGTCGGGTCTCACCTTCGTCTTGGCGGTCAATGCTCGTTTGACCGCCCAAACGAAGTTCGATTAACGTGAAATTTTATACACTTATACTTCTTGACGTCCTTGATCCACAAATACCATTTTGGATCCCTGGAACACCACACATAATAAGTTATCACATTTTTAATCACCAAACCTACATAACATGCTTTTCAACTATGTTTTATGCAAAATCATGGCATAAGCAAATACTTGATTATCTTTAATCATTCCACAAAACATATCCTTGATTACTTTAGGTAATCTCATGCCTCACGCAAAAGTTATAAAGCATAAAGCCGTCTTCTCACCTTAATGAAGCTTATGAAGTTCTAGCCTTCCCGATTTAGCTCCGGCGAAACTCCGGCGAACTTCAACGAACTCCGGCGATAACTCCGGTGACTCTTTAGACTCCGTGAAAGTTCCTTGAATACCTTAGACAAGTTACTAACAAGGTTTTATCATCATAAAACCCATAGTAATACAAATAACCTCCAAAAGGTTATTTTCCGGCGAACCGGTTACTTTGGCTTCTAAGTCCGTTCTTGGACTTAGAACCACCTTCCAACCCCTCATTCTACACTTCCAAACGTGTAGAACAATCCTATGGTGTGAAATATGATTGAATAATCATATAAGAGGATTGAAGAACAAGAAATGAGATTAATGGAGTCATTACCTTGTTAAAAACAAGTTTTCCTCTCCAAAGCCAACTTTTCTCTTCTCTTTTCCCCTCCTTCTTCCTCGTCTGTGTACAATTTGGCCAATCGCTCGAGCGTATAGGTAGTGTTGATAGGTAGGAAATGAGCACTCTTGGTCAGCCTATCGACTACCACCCATACTGCGTCGTAGTTCCTAACCGTCCGTGGTAGACCCACCACGAAGTCCATGGTAACATGCTCCCACTTCCATTCTGGAATGGTAAGTGGTTGTAGTAACCCTGCTGGGTGTTGGTGCTCTGTCTTAACCTGTTGAAAGGTAAGGCAACGGCTCACGTATTCTGCAATTTCTCTCTTCATCCCTGACCACCAGTAATTTTCTTTCAAGTCCCGGTACATCTTTGTACCGCCCGGGTGCATGGCATACGCAGATGAGTGAGCCTCCTCAAGGATAGATTTTCGGAGCTTCCCCAAATGTCCCCGATGGAGCACTAGAAGCACCTCGGCTTCCCTTCCCCATGGCTTGCCTAGCCTGTCTAGCTTGGCGCCGTTGCTCTCTCTTTGCCTTATTCTCAAGGTACCATTCTAGTACCTCACTCATGCGGTCATAATGAGGATCATCATCCTCATCTTCTTCCTCAAAGTCCTACCCGTTGTACGGGGTCTCCTCTTGCTCCGTGCTTGGAGCATATGTGAAATCGTCCGGTTCGGTGGCCCAAGATGGGTGCGCAGAACCGACACGCGTGCTACTTTCCGTCGGCGTTGTAGAACGCCCACGACCCCTGCCTCGGCCTCCTCCTCGGCTTTGTCCCTGGCCTCTACCCCTAGAGGCCCGTGATTCCGCCCGAGTGGCATGCCCGGTGGCCCCGGCACCTGCCCTGTCGGGTTGATCCTAGTTATCCTGCGTCCACCCTCCATTTCTGAAAGAAATAAGGAATGAGTCATTAGACTCGTTTCAATGTCAATTGACGGATTAGTACAGAAGACACCACTTGGTCCAACATTATGGCCAACAAACTGTTAAGGGTACCTGTAATACCCGAGATTAATTTAAGAGGATTAATAGTACTACTCATACCAACAGAGGTGCATCTCCTTTTAAGGGAGCTCATCACCCAAGAACTCCAAAGTTAAGCGTGTTTGCACGGGAGTAGTCTTGGGATGGGTGACCCCCTGGGAAGTTTCTTAGGGCGCGCATGAGTGAGGACAAATTGCGCGGTAAAGGCTCGTGGTGGTTTGTGGGGACAGTACTAGAAGTCTAGAGTAACTACCTCGGGTCCGTGTGGGGCCCCGGGGTGTTACAGGTGGTATCAGAGCAACCCTGCGACAGTGTGCTGACCCGTTAGATATCGGGCGGGCACTTAGCGGGTCAAGATTCTGGGGTTTTATTGAGATTGGTTTAAGGGCGCAACAAGGACGTTGCGATCCTAAGTGGGGGTGATTGTAATACCCGAGATTAATTTAAGAGGATTAATAGTACTACTCATACCAACAGAGGTGCATCTCCTTTTAAGGGAGCTCATCACCCAAGAACTCCAAAGTTAAGCGTGTTTGCACGGGAGTAGTCTTGGGATGGGTGACCCCCTGGGAAATTTCTTAGGGCGCGCATGAGTGAGGACAAAGTGTGCGGTAAAGGCTCGTGGTGGTTTGTGGGGACAGTACTAGAGGTCTAGAGTAACTACCTCGGGTCCGTGTGGGGCCCCGGGGTGTTACAGTACCGTCTTAAAAATAAGAGGTCAATAACTTGGTTTCCAACGGTTCCTTAAGTACAAAAACTTTTGCTCATGGTTTTATTCAAAACTTTTTGAGGATAACCATATTGAGAGGTTAATTATATAGTTTAGAAATCGATGGCTCTGATACCACATTATTGTCACGCCCCGGACCACATCCGAGCCACATAGACAACCGCCGTGCAACCCGATAAGAACAACAACAGTTCATCCCTATTGAATTGCACAAGGCGTCCGATTGATTCTTTTGCCAAACCGATTAGTAAACACATATAATCAACATCAATATCATAATCAAACAAATGCGGAAATAGTAATATGTTTGATACTTAGCCACACGTGGCAAACACGGGCACGCAGGCCCCCAACTGTTTTAAGGAAAACATTGTTCAAAAATCCATGAGCAGTTTATAAATTTCAAAAATACGAATGGAAGCACGAACCACGTCTTCCTCCTTGGATGACCACCCTAGGCGAAGGTGCAGGTAGTAGGACTCTAGCCTCAACCTGAAAAATGTGAGGGCCCCCGGAGGGGTCAGTACTCCATAGAGTACTAGTGACAAGCAGGATATATGAAGAATAACTAATGTTTCAGACACGAGACCCAAAAATAGGGTGATACATATATATAGATGTCTCTCATCCACCCGATGATACATACTGTATATATACTCGTAAAATACTCAACCCGTAGGTCATTTACCTTAAAGAGTCTTTTAGAGATAAAGTTCTTACCTGACTTTTCTCACTCCTTTCCCGGTTGCCTAGCTCACAAGCTATAGTCTACCTTTGATTTCATACTACCGAGTGTTTTAGGATCATTTACCATCCAAGGCACTCAACCCAACCTGGAGTATTTAAGATCATTTACCGTCCAAGGGTACTCGGCCCCACCTGGAGTATTCTGGATCATTTACCGTCCAAGGGTACTCGACCCCACCTGGAGTATTCTGGATCATTTACCGTCCAAGGGTACTCGACCCCACCTGGAGTATTCTGGATCATTTACCGTCCAAGGGTACTCGACCCCACCTGGAGTATTCTGGATCATTTACCGTCCAAGGGCACTCAATCCCAGTCTATCCTCTACCAAATCCTAACCTGGATATGGCTAACCTTTCATTCCTTTAACTATGAACAATGCCTAGCCCTATAATCATATAACAATCCTTAGGATCCAACGTGGGCGGGTCCCACCTGAACGGCCCACGTTAACCCACTCAAAACTGCCCGTTTTGAGCATAAACCAATACTCGATCGAGTATCTACCCATACTCGGTCGAGTACAGGAGGCAGTAGCCCACAAAGCTGATTTTCAATGTATACTCGATCGAGTATCTACCCATACTCGATCGGGTATAGGAGGCAGTAGCCTCCTGGGCAATTTTTCAACAAATACCCGGTCAGGTATGTGTCAATACCCGGTCGGGTATGGCAGTTGACTTGGCGGTCAACGCCCGTTTGACCACCCAAACGGAGTCCGATTAACGTGAAATTTTATACACATATACTTCTTGACATCCTTGATCGAAAAAAACCATTTTGGATCCATGGAACATCACACATAATAAGTTATCACATTTTTTATCACCAAACCTACATAACATGCTTTTCAACTATGTTTTATGTATAATCATGGTATAAGCAAATACTTGATTATTCTTAATCATTCCATAAAACATATTTTTGATTACTTTAGGTAATCTCATGCCTCACGCAAAAGTTATAAAGCATAAAGTCGTCTTCTCACCTTAATGAAGCTTATGAAGTTCTAGCCTTCCCGATTTAGCTCCGGCGAAACTCCGGCGAACTTCAACGAACTCCGGCGACAACTCCGGCGCCCCTTTCAACTCCTTGAAAGTTCGTTGAATACCTTAGAAAAGTTATTAACAAGGTTTTATCATCATAAAACCCTTAGTAATACAAATAACCTCAAAAAGGTTATTTTCCGGTGAACCGGTCACTTTGGCTTCTAAGTCCGTTCTTGGACTTAGAACTACCTTCCAACCCCTCATTCTACACTTCCAAACGTGTAGAACAATCCTAGGGGGTGAAATATGATTGAATAATCATATAAGAGGATTGAAGAACAAGAAATGGGATTAATGGAGTCATTACCTTGTTAAACACAAGTTTTCCCACCTAAACTCCTCTTTTCTCTTCTCTTTTTTCTTTTCTTCTTCCTCCCTTAACTTGGTGCGTGTATGATGGATGAAAATGGGTTATTTTTAGAGCTTCTCTCACTTGGTTGATGCCTGATACGAATGGGGTGAGTTGGTATGATTGAGAATGCCTTCTTGGCATTTCTCACAATCATGGCATGTGGGAGGCCTTACTCCATTTAATGCCTTTCCCCTCAACCCCTTTTCTTTCCCCTCCCCCTTCTCTTTGTGCGGCTCCCCTTGACATTTGCAGCACCAAATAGGTGGGTGGCCCCCACTCATGTGGGAGGTCATCCCTCTATGTCCCCAAGTGTACAATCGGTCCCGAAAGTGGTATTTTCCGGACTGTTTCATATATATTTTATTTTATCGGGTCAAATAAAATGTAGCACTTGTTCCCAATCCTTATTGGACCTTAGAATGAATATGCATTCCTCAACTTTAATTTAGAAGTCTCCGAAATCCCTTTTCGGGCTGTTATCTCATAAATTGCCGATACTGATAATTTGGCCCCGTTTGACCAACCGGTCAACCCTATGCCATTGCCATGGCCCAATTTGGATACCCATTACCATATACATATTATCTAGTCCAAGATTAATATAATATGTGGTCCCGATAATATCGGGCGGCCCCACATCCGGTGTGGGCCCCACGTGAATTTTACTATTCACGTAAAAGAAATGATAAAAATTTACAATCACGAAAAAATGCTTTTATACATTTATCAGGGTTCAATACATGATTCGATAAAGTACAAATACTTGGGGGCGGTGTTACATTACTAATACATAATTAAATATAATTACAATCAAAGTTGTGCGTTGGCAAACGTGAAGGGTTTAATGCACCAAACCCCCCTGTGATATGGAAATTCGACGCATTAGCCCATGTGATTAAAAATGCATCAAACCCCCCTGCATTTTAATTAATCATGCACAGAACCCCTTTTATGAATAAATTCAATTGTCAAATAAAAGAAAAATAATTAACATTTTTTTATTCAGAGATTTTGACATATTTACTTGCATTTTCAATCAGAATATTAGAAAAAGTGATTTCCAAATTGTTAAATTTATTCATAAAGGGGTTCTGTGCATGATTAATTAAAACACAAGGAGGTTTGACACATTTTTTGAATCACAAGGGCTAATCAGTGGCGGAGCCAGAAAAATGGCCTAGAGGGGTCGAAAATCAACTATATACAAAATGAAAATGATGTGTCGTTTTTAGACAATGTCTGAGTTGAATGTTTCATATGTAGTTTAAATAAATAGGCACTCGTAGCAATAAGATAGATATTCTTTGCTCTGTCTCTAAGTCATGTCACATAAGTAATAAGTTAATTATACGCTATTTTTAAAATTTGGGAAAATGATCAATATTACACACCAAATTTTGTTGATTTTACGTTTAGATAGTGCTGATTTTCCAGTAGTCATAACTTTTTACTCGTAATTAGTTACGGGGGGCATAATATATCAAATTGAATGTATTTCAGAGCTCTATACTCAACCATATTATTACAAAAAGTGATTTCAAAATTGTAAAATTTGTTCTTGAAGGGGGTTTTGCGCATGATTAATTGAAACACAAAGGGGTTTGATGCATTTTTTAAATCACAGGGGGCTAATACGCCGAATTTATATTTCAGGAGGGGGTTCGGCGCATTTAACCCACCCCATATAAATTTAATCAATGGGTTAAATGCGTTCGAACCCCCTCGTGAAATATAAATTCAGCGTATTAGCCCCCTGTGATATAAAAAATGCATCAAATCCCCTTGTGTTTCAATTAATCATGCGCAAAACCCCCTTCAAGAACAAATTTTACAATTTTGAAATCACTTTTTGTAATAATATGGTTGAACATGCAAGTAACTTTGTCAAAATTTCTAAATTATACAAAAAAAAAACTAATCATTTTTCATTTTTTTGGAAATTAAATTTGTTCTTGGAGGGAGTTTGGCGCATGATTGATTATAACACAGGGGGTTTGACGCATTTTTAAAATCACAGAAGACTAATACGTCAAATTTATATTTCACGAGGGGGTTTGAAACCTTTAATCAATACACACAAATTTCGATTTGAGAACCGGTTAGTGGATGAACAAATACAAAAGGAGTAAACATTAATCTAATAGTATCATACAAAATCTCATTAGTAAGACTAATCAGATGACTATATCCAGGTTTTTGAGGAGTAACTTGAAAAATTAAAACTGAAAATTGATTTGAAGATGCCACAAAGTTAGAGAACAAAAAGGAAATAAAGTGATCGCCATCCTCCTATCTCCTTCCCGGAAGAAATTAGAAAATCCAAATTCAATACTGCGATCTGCCACAAAGCTAATTTCATAACCTCAGAAAATTGCTTGCCAACTGACAACCAGAACACGCAGCTCAAAATCTACAGAAAATCTCAAAAGAATAAAAGACGCCACAACATGAAAACTAGGTCGCAATCCAGAGATTTCTCTTGGAATTAGCTCTTTTTTCGTTTAGTTTTGTTTCTCGTTCATTTTAGTTCTTTTCCTTCTTTACTTTCATGTACTTTTATTTTAGTTTTTCCTTCACACATTGCACTCCTTTTTTATTTCAATAAAATATCCTTTTTCCAAAAAAAAAGGAAATAAAGTGAATTTCCGGAAATACTTCATACACCCACTGATATCACACATGCTCCGGACTAATCAACATCAATTCATATAAAAATGAACCATAAATCTAAACTTTTCAGCAATCAAGACGATTTTTGGATACAAAAATCTATTCATTCCCAAAAAAATTAACAGATCATTTCAATTAGTTTTACCCCCCAGAAATTAATTTACGCCATCATGAAGTGCAGGAGAGTTTAGGGTTTGGAAGCAATATTTTAATTTTACTGTTTGCTTACTTTTTATTTTTCATGATCAATCTGTTTATTTTTCTGTTGGTTACTTTTATTGTTGTAAGACTCTTGCATTAGGATTGAGTGATGGGAGGTCTGTTTTAATCGTTGTTGGCTCACTTATGTCCATTATAGGATCAACGAGTTATATTGCTTTTTTGAAGGTGATTGACTCTAAGTCTGGTTCGAGAGCTGACGATTGTCTACGGTTATTTTTCATTAGCAAGGGTTTATTTTGTGATGTAACTCGTGTTATGGAACATGTAACTCGCATTGATGAAAAATATAACTTACATGTATGCAAAATGTAACTTGTTGAGGCAATTGGAAGTCCAATTGTAACTCATGTATAGAAAGATGTAATTCACGTACAAGAAGATGTAACTTCATATACTATCAAGTGTAAGTATATGAGGTCATTAATTTCAGTGTATATACTGTCATCTTCATAGAAATATATATTTTTGCAAAGAGATAGGAAATATATTATAGAAAAAAGTGTATAAATATGTAAAATATTTTACAAAAAAATTGCATAAATGTAAAATAAAAATATTACACAAAAATAAAGTCTGTAGTAATTTCAGTTGAAGAAAAAAGTAAACAAATAGTGTATGATTATTGATGCAATATACTTTTTATTTGTGGATTAATAAAATTTTGTATTAAATTGGTAAAGAAAGAAGATTAATTCAGTTGTAATTTATTTAGTTAAAAATAAAGATAACTAAAATCACAATTAAATATGAAGTATTTTGATGTAGAGGGGAAAAGAATTGAAGAAAATAAAAAAGAAACATAAAGAGAAAGAAATAACATACTTGGACGGCTTGAATTGAAGGACTAGAAAGGGAACTTAAGTAGTGCTCCCAAGAAAAGGAAGAGAACATATATAAATGGTTCCGTATTTGATACTGATATACCATGCACATGGTAGACCGATTATAATTTGCGTATTTGAGGTGAATTGTCTAAACGGAAGGTTGGAAGCTGTTTTCAGGCAAACACATGCCTTCACAAAAGACCAACTTGCTCCCCTCTATTCTACATAATTAAAGTTGAAGTAACAATGAATTGAAGCGTTATGTATAAATTGTTAGATCCCGTTTGGTGAAGAAAAATTGATTGAGACCACTCATGTCATTTTTTATTATTAGAAGGTCTTTAGTAAAATCTATTTCAAACGTGTATATCTACACATGATACTATTTACGTATGCGATATTTATTTGGTAAATTCTATAGTACTCTCAATTAAAATATTACAATTGAATAATTAAAATATTAATAAATGTTGAGAATTTGAGATAATGAGTTGCTTCAATCAAATTCATTGTACATACTGTACACTCATTTATTTGTGGGTACAATACCATTGACCTATTTATTTTACTTTTTTAAGTGCTAATAAACTGAATGAACTGTGCAAAAGTGTAAAAGAGAGACTTATATTTCATCTCCATATTGGGAGTAATAATGAAGGAACAACTGTATTATTCTCTTATTACTGACTTGTACACTCAGCCCACATAGCAAGTGGCACAACAATGTTAGTGTTGGTTACAACCTAACATCCTAAATTTGGCTCCCTATCATATGCATGAAACATCCAAAGGCAAAGATAAAAGAGAAATTCATCGAAATTCTTTTATGCAACCCCTATAACTACTATAGTCGTATACGTACACTTGTTTAGTCGCATCATTACAATCCATATTCATAATTTTCATTGTGGTTTGGCGTAGCCTCGGGCAGTTCAGGATTGGTCGGTTCTACTTCCTGCATCCCGTTAGAAGGTTTTAAATAAAGTACTTCGAGTATAATTTGACAAATAATTTTAATAGGTATATATTATAATGTAGTTAGTATTGATAACTGTGATGTTATAAATGTATTGTTTTTAATAATTAATGATTAATTTGTCACTTAAGATTGTTAATTATTCCCTAAAATGAAAATGAGAATCTTTATATGGGACGTCCAGAAAAGGAAAGTGGAAGCATTCTAATGGAACGGAATGGAACGGAAGGAGTAGTAAACTGATCAAATAGGGGAACAAGGACCGCTTTTTGTGTGTTCAATCTATCATATCTTGTCATCAATCTATAATCTTGACATTTGTGAGTTTGTAACATGGTCCACCAATCTTGGGGTCCCCAAAATTTTTAATAGTAGTCGACCCCAATATCTTTTGGAAGTAAGGGTGGGATGTTGTTGTTGTTGTTATAATATAGTGAGAAATGATTTGTGTCGTGGGTTAAACAAAACTGATCAAACTTGATTTTGGCACTTTAGAGATACACGTAGAACATATATCAATCAAACCAGATTGACCCGCTTTAAACAAATCAGACCAGACCATACCTGATCGAACCAGACTAGAAAATTTCTTGTCTACCTTTGGCTCTTAGACTTTTTTATAAACCGTACGTAACCCTAATGTATTGTTGGTTCTGATCCTATTTTGGTGGAATTTGAACTATTTTTGATCGATTCTGAATATGACTGAACGGGAACAAAAAAGAGACATCGGTTAGGTTTTTTACCCTACCAGCTTCCTTTGGAATTGTAAAACCGGAACCGTGTTTTTAGCTTTAAGTGTGATCGGTCTCATTATGAAAATGTGTGGTGAATTGAATGTGTCTACGTGAGTATGTCTATAATTTCATGTAAGTCATACAAGTAAGAGGTCATAAAATTTGCTTCAGCTTCATAAAGGTTGACAGGGAATTGGAAACAAAATACTATGTAAAATATAATAAAAACCTTCCGTTAGAAAGACTAATACGCTTTACAATACGCTTTATTCCTTTTTGAAGTTTTTCAATTATCCTTAGGGAAAAGGGTCAAACTCTTTCTACTATTTCAATTATGCTTACTTTGAAACTACGGTCATCCAAATTATTTTGACCTGCTGTAACAAGTTGTTTTTGAAAAAATAAATTACGAAAATTAATAAATCTTATAAAAATTCATATAAACTTGAAAAAATAATGTAATAATAATATATAAAATAGTAAAAGTAAAGAAAAAAGGGTAACTTGTTTTAAAATGTTAAAATAAAAAAAAAACAGAATAATGCAAAAGTGAATATGTAAAGTACATTAAATTAAAATCTGAAAATTTCAAAAAGATGTAGAATATCAGAATAATTCCAAAAAACAAAAATATTGAGTTTCACATTTTGAAATTGTTCCGATATTTTATTTATATTCATTCGAATCTTTAACAATTTTTTAGAATTTTTTAAATACAAAACCTGCTATTATCACTACAAAAAACAATGAGATTGTCACGGATTTTGTCACGGATCGTAGTTAAAAAATCCATGACAAATAACATTGTCACGGATTTTTTCACGGATTTTTCTGTGACTGTTTAGGCATGACAAACCTTTGTCACAGAAAGGGATCCGTGATAAAGCTTTAATTTGTCACGGATTTGACACGGCCTGTATCCGTGACAATACGTTCACCGGAGAGGGCCGCCCGTTTCAAATTTGTCACGAACAATTCTGTGACAACATTTGCCATGGATAAATCCGTGACGACACTTATAATTTGAATTTTGGATTTTTCCGTATCGGGTAGGGCGGGAAATAAAAAAAATCAAAATTATACATCTAGTCACGGACGCCATCTGTGACAAACATTTTCATTAAAAAAATTATATTTTGTCACGAAATATATCTGTGACAAACATTTTTTAGATTAAAAAAATATTAAAACAATACGGCGGAATTATAAAATTCACCTTTATCACGGCCCCATCTGTGACAAACTAAATATTACATAAAAACAATTCAAAGAAAGCTTTTGATTTAATTATTTTCTTGTAAAATTATAGTGAAGGATTTCGAACCAAATTATTTTCGAGTAAAATTAAATTATCTGGGAATTGAATTATACTAAATCCATGAAAAACGTACTTGACTTAATATAATGTTGAAGAATCCCGTGCCTAGTGGGAGGTCTCGAGTTCGAATCCCGCTAGGCACACAAGGGTTTGAAACTCAATGGAGTGAGTTTCAGCCCTGATTACTTCAGACCCCCCAGGCCCCCTCCCCCAGACCCCCTGGAGTAAAAAAACTAATGATGTAGAAAAAAACTGAATTCTCAGTAAAAAAATCAAATTATCGACCGGTTAAAAATTTCTAATTGATTTCAGCAAAATTAGATTTAAAACAATTTAATTAGAAGAGGAACATTATCGCAATTACAAATTAAAAGTAATTACAATGCCTGCACAAATTAACAATACAATTAATCACTATCAGAATCAGTATTTTCTTCATAGATAACATCTTCTTTTGTATCTTCATCATCATCTATCCATTTTTCTTTTTTCTCATGTTCATCGTCTTGTTCTTGTTCATATTGTTGAACAATTTCAAACTCAGTTTGAGCTGTTGGGCGCGGAGGGTGTGTTTCTGGCATGACTTCAACAAGTTCGCCATTGAAATCACTTAAGTGAATGTTATAGTTGATCGTCTCAGCAATAGGCTGAGGTAGAAAAAAAACTTGTTGAAAAGCATCAAAACCAACGTCCTTATGTTGAGTCTCTGATATAATTTTCCTCGAACGGATAGTAGATGTACACACCCAAGGATTCTGTGCCCGCTTGGTTGAAGGGTATTTTGCATAATAAACTTGGGTTGCTTGTTGAGCGAATATAAAAGACTCAATTTTCCGATAAACGTGCGAGTGCTTGACATCAATTATATTATACTTTGAATTTTTTCTCACACCACGTATCGGATTAACACATGTGCAGCGGAACAAAACTCATGACAATTTTTGCATACCAGAAGGCCTTTTATGTTCGGGAATCTCATGCATCAAACCAACAAAATTGGTTTCCAAATTATCATAACTGATGGTTGCGACACATAACCCGCTATTCATTATTGGTCGGTCTTGTCCATAATTGACTGTGTGATAGGTGTAAGCATTTATCACATATGACCGCAAAACTTTTGCATGGGAAGAAGGGCCTCGCGCTAATGATACTAACAGAGGGTCGTAAATCTCACGGCTCTTGATTTGTAAATTAAAACATGATAACATTGGATAATTATTAAAAATTATTAGTTAATAGTACATATCATGTATATATATACCTGATATTGATATCATGTTGCAAAATCAGAGTCCACCATTACATCAATTGCATCATATGCTCTAAATTAAATGTGAAATCATATAAAAATAAATTATAACACTCTTGCTCATATTTCTAGCTATATTACAAATATAACAACCAATTTTACTTACTTATAAAGTGGTAAGATTTACGGACAATTCATGAGGACTAAGTATGTGCAAGTGTGCAACTCTATATTCGCCACCCACGATGTAACGGTAAGTCGCAGCTCCTTTACCCCTACCCAGTTAATTGAAAATGGAAACTAATTTGTCATATGAATCCTCACCAATGTCATCGTTCTGAGGAGGTCTTTTTCTTTTAGTGATGACATCACACTCAAAATAGAAAGATGAAAACGTTGAGATTTCTTTTTGAAAATATTCTTGACAAATTGAAGCCTCAACGTGTGCCTTGTTGGTCATTTTCTTTTTCAACTCTCTCAGAAATCTGTCATGCAAAATAAAACTTGTAAACAAACAAATGTTCTTATTAAATAAATCTTGAAATATCAATGAAATTGTGACTAACCATTCAAATATGTACATCCAACGATAGAAGATGGGCCCTCAATTCAGAGCCTCATATGGAAGATGTATTATAAGATGTTCCATTCCATCGAAAAAGGATGGAGGCAGTATTTTTTCCAAATTACACATCAAAATGGGAAAAAAGTCTTCTAGTCTCTAGAGGGTTTCAACATCCAAAACTGTGGAACATATGGACTGAAACAATAAACCGATTTAAGTAATACAACCCCATACGTTTGGAGGAAGCATGTCTCTCAGTGCAATCGACAGAACTCTTTGCATGATTACATGAGCATCATGACTTTTCATGTACGACGTCATGGTAATGTTTTTCATGTCCATGCATCTGGACATGTTAGAGCAATACTCATC